AATAAGTTTAATTAAAAAAAAAAGAGAGATTAATAAATATATACCAAACTCAATTAACATTGAGGAGCTAAAACCTTGGAAGCTAATTTTTTAAAAACTACAAGTGTGAATGTTACAAAACTTGTTAGTTTGGCCTAATTTGAGTCGTAGAATTGAAATATGGAAAAAGATTGGTATGTTACTTCGGAAAAAGTCCGATTTTGTATCAAAATACCTATATTAGAGAACTATGCTATATGTAAATCTAACACATATCGTAAATCGCGCTTTCGAGACATGAAAAACGCAAGCTGAATTTCGTCAATCGACCCAGTAGAATTTGAGATATAAAACTGTCCTCCACCTTTTTTTTTTGCGCATGGTACGTTTCTCGTATTTTGGAAAAATGACGGTAATTAGAGCCACCAAATCTTGATCCCACTCGGATATGTGCACCTTGAAGCTCAAATTTTGAACTTCGAATTTGGTTTCAATTTATAATACAATACAAAATGTTTAATCCGGACACTTCGGGACCTCGGCGATTCCGGATTAGGGGTTTTTCCAGATTATAGATTATCAATTTAAATCTGGTAAGATGGCATGCAGAAATTATAAAATTAAAAGTATGAAACCGTAATTTATGAAATAAAGAGCAATTATGACCTAAAGGGTATCAAAATTTACACACAAAAAAAGCTTAATATTTATTTGTTTACTTTATTAAACATTTCTTTCAATGTAAGTTGTTTAAGTTGCTTCGTTTTATGTGCTAATACTTTCTCTTTAATTCTATAAACAGACATAATTTCTTGTTCATTTACGAAGTTACGCTGTTCAAGTCCCGTTAATACCGACTAACTTGTCAATCGAAATTTTTTCGTTTTCACTAACCTCTCTGTCACTTTCTTCATGCCTTTACCATTTTTTGCAGCAATTCCACTTTTTGTTTGATGGATATCGAAACATGCTTTCGCTTTTTAGATCCTTTGGCAGGTCCAGAGTTGGAAACTCCTTTTGACATAATCGAAAGTTCAAGCTTACATTTTATAAAATTGCTCTAACAGTCTTCAAAAAAATAATAAGCCGGATCCAATTAGAAGATTAAGGAGCAACGCAATCTGCAACATTAGCTGAAATAGATAATTAGATAATTTTAGCCTAGCTTATACCATCCGTTATATATATTAAACGCGCATGCGTAAACGTATTATGCGCGTGCGCATAAAGTTTGTAGCTTTGAGGTCTGGATTATAGATCATTCCGGATTATGGACGTCCGGATTAACGACTTTTGACTGTATAAGCAATTGTACTGTATATTTTGTAGGAATTTAACGAATTTTGATTAGTAAACACAGGGATTTGAAAGATAGCTGTGGCAACCCTGTTCGAAATAAAACATTTTTATCTGCCCCTAAGCAAGTTAAATGCACAGCAGTTTCAGATAATACAACTCTCTCTTTTTCTATTTGAATTTTAATACTTTTACAGAAAATTTAATTGAATCTTTTATCGGTTTTTGATCTAAAATGATTCAGCAGAACGAAACATGTATTCGAAACGCACTAATCGACTTTAAGTAAACTTTAATTCATTTTCCCTGATGAGCTCTGAATTGAGGGTTTCATACAAAGTAGATAACGTTTTACATTAATTTCTAATTACATTAATTTAATTTACACTAATTTTATATTAATTTAATTAGCTAGGGAAATGCCCTGTTATGATTCCAATTTAAGTTTAATTTTGGTTGCTCTAAGTTTCTTCAATCCTGGTATAGCGCAAGATGTTTCTACTATGTTTCTCTTTATATGTATAACTTTTTAATCTGAATGATTTAAATAAAAATGCATTTAATTTATTATTATATAATTAAAAATATTAATATTCTTATGAAATTACACTAGCTTCGCTCCTTAAAATCATATTTTTCTCTTCGTTTTTCTTTTTTTAATCACTAGTTATTCTTAAGCAGATGTATTTTTAAAAAACTAAACTTCCCACTTTTCTAAAATCACTTCTCATGCTAAAATGAAATGACTCTAAAATGATTTTGGAGTCTACCTATTGATTCTGTCTTTTTACTTAGAAATTAAATATCCTCAAACTTCATTATATATAGTCACTCTATAATTTTTGCCTGGAAGCAATGATTTTGATGTGACAAAATTAATGAAATTTATTGATTACTGAAAATGATTTTGGAGTCTACCTATTGATTCTGTCTTTTTACTTAGAAATTAAATATCCTCAAGCTTCATTATATATAGTCACTCTATAATTTTTTCCTGGAAGCAATGATTTTGATGTGACAAAATTATATTAAAAATTGTTTGTGAAAGTCAACTTTTATACAATTACAGAAATTTGCAAACACTTGTCTAAAACAGAAACTGTTAAAAGCTGTACGTTTAATGTACACTGCGGAGAAAATAAGGGGACAGTTCTATATCTCCCTTTGCACTGCGCCTATTGACGAAATTCAGATTGCGTTTTTCATGTCTCGAAAGCTCAACTTAGTATATATATTAGATCTATATATAGCATTGTACTAATATAGGTATTTTGACACAAAATAGGACTTTTTACGAAATGACATGATAATGTCTTTCCATATTTCGATTCTGCGACTCAAATTATGCCTAGATATTAAATTTTGTAAAATTTGATTCCCACTTTATGGAGAAATTCAAATATTTAACTCGGGGCATTTTTTTTTTCGGTTTGCGCGAAGAATAATTCATTTGGCGAACTTCTTAATTTATAGCAACCTTTTTTCCTTTCCTTTTTCTCAATGAACACGAGTGGAAAAAGGAGCATGGTTCATTCTTTTAAATAAATTTAACAAAGTGCGTAAAGCATATTTGACTTATTATCGCTTATAATAACTAAAACAAATTTCAAAATGCGGCAATATAGAAATTCACGTATATCTTAGGAAATTTTGAATAAAAAACTCTAATTTTTTGCAGGCACGCTTAGACATTCATCTACTTTAAGATGATGGTAACATTTTATAGGTTATAATACAAAATGCTTTTCGCAAAATTTATAAAAATATTTAAAAATACTAATTTAAAAAATAAACCATAAAAAATGGGCGAATTATATTTACATCAAGCCTAAATTTCGAAATATGAAAGGAAGAATCAAGTACGTTTAATAAAAAATAAGATATTAATAAATACATGTCAAATTCAATTAACATTGAGGAGCTAAAATTTTGAGAGCTAATTTTTTAAAAACGAATCGTGCGATTTTGACAAAACTTGGCAGTTTCGCATAATTTGAGATAGAATCGAAATATGGGAAAAAAATGGGCATGTCTTAGCAGAAAAAGGCAAATTCTATGTCAAAATACCTGTATAAGAACAATGCTATATACAGGGTGTTTCATAGATCATGGGACAAATTTGGAGGGGTGGTGGAGGGTACTAAAACATGCATTTTTTTAAATAAGAACGTAGGGTTAAAGTGACGGGTTAAGGCAGGAACGTAAAAAAACGACACGAGAAGAAAATGCGTTTATGTACAAAATCAACGCAAAGTGCTTCTTTGTAGCAATACAGTATTTACAATAAATGTTCAAAAAAGGGAACACTAACAGTAATAGGAAGTACAGCTGTGATCGGCTGGCAATGCAGCGGTAGAGGGCGGTAGTGAGCCGGACAAACCACGATCCGATGCAACAGAGGATCATTCGCAACTCTGATGTCGAGCGTGATGGGGAGTTTACGCACAGGAAAAAAGCTTACATGCATCTCATGTATGGTGCTGCTAATGGGAACGGCAGAGCAGCGCTACGGTTGCAACAGAAACGGTTTCCGAACAGGCGTATGCCGAAGCACACAATGTTCGAGAGGTTGCATCTGTCTCTGTGTGTAAACGGGTCATTTGAAGCCACCTCTGGCACTAGGAGTGGAAGAAGAAGTGCACGACAACCTCGCATTGAAGAATCCATCTTGAACATTGTGCATGAATCACCTCAGACAAGTACAAGAGCTATTGCACGTCGTCTGCAGCTGAGTCATTCCACCGTTTGGAGAGTATTGCATGAAAATAGTTTGCACCCATACCATTTGCAGAGAGTCCAAGCCTTGCAAGAGACAGATTACCCTCTTCGAGTTCATTTCTGTCATTGGTTCTTGCAGCAGTGTGCGGCGTAGGCGGATTCCCATCGGATGTGCTATTCACGGACGAGGCAACTTTCTCACAGGACGGCATCTTCAATAGTCACAACATGCACGTGTGGGCAACTCATAATCCACACGGCACACGTCCACATGCATTCCAAACCCGCTTCTCCGTGAATGTGTGGGTGGGTATTGTTAGCGACTACCATCATAGGCCCCTACCTCTTACCTGCACGTATAATTACCTGCACGTATAATTTTCTGCAAGAGGTGCTACCGGAATTGCTGCAGGATGTTCCGGCTGTCGTTCTTGATCGCATGGGGTTCCAGCATGACGGTGCACCAGCCCATAACAACGTGCGGGTCTGCACTTTACGTCACTTTACTTGCAACGTCACTTTAGACCTTACACTTTTATAAAAAAATGCACGTTTTAGTACGCTTCACCACCCCTCCAAGTTTGTCTCATGATCTATGAAACACTCTGTATATATAAATCTAACACATATCTCAAGTCGCGCTTTCGAGACATGAAAACGCAAGTTGAAGTTTGTCAATCGGACGAGTAGAACGGGAGATACAGAACTGACACTTTTTTTGTGCAGTGTACATGTAAGTATGCAACAAGTAGGGAGACAGGAAAGGAAATGAAGACAATGCAAGAAAGATGAATACAAAATCATAATAAGCACGACAAAAGAATTCAAAAATAAGTTTTATTTCATACTGATTGTGTTATTTACAGATTTAAAGCAGGTATGTTAGGTTCAACCTCGCTAAAGCAAATAGAGTTAAAAGAATAATGAGTGTTATAGTATACAGTAAAAAAAAAAAAAAAAAAAAAAAAAAAAAAAAAAAAGGAAAACTTATCTTTTCCATATGTTTAGTTGCAAAGAGGATAGAAAAGAGTAGAGAGATTTGGTAGAAGAAGAAGAAGAAGGCAAGAAATAAGAATCCCTTCCTATCATCTTCTAGCTGAGACTTTAGACATTAAAGTAGACCGTTTGTGATGGGTATAACACTATAAGAAAGGATAAGGCTATTTTACACACTATCAAAAAATACAGGAAAAGGTGGTATTTGTTTGCATTTAATATAACTGACAAATTTCAGAATGATTCTTTCACTGAAACGTATTTTGTTGCCAATTAATTAGTTGAGTTTTTGATTTGAAATTACCACCAAAATTTTAATTAATTGAGGTTAATAATAAGTCTACATGCGCTTTTTCTAAAGAAAGAAAATGTATGAGATGAAATGAAAAGCAACTTTAGTATACTGATAAAGAAATCCAGAAGTGCATTACAGACGATTATATACCTTCAAGTTTGACGCACCAGCCTGGCGGAAAATATAGTGGCTCTGATTCCTTTTCGGACACTTATATTATAAGGTATTTCTTCCGTCTTCTTAGCACGCCTTCGTGGTGTAATGGTAAGCACGCTCGGCGTGTATTCGAGAGGTCTGAGGTTCGAGTCCTGGCGAGGGCATTGCTCATTTTCACATCTCCTGCTTCCAAATACCTAATTTCTCTACAGCGGCGCCCGAACTAAGAAAGGTGGTGGATGATGATTCTCCACCACCAGGATTTGGCAACTGGATCCCTAATCACCAGTTTCCCTTCAAAAGGGGGAGTATATAAGGTATTTCTCCCGCTTTTTCAGCATGCCTTCGTAGTGTAGTGGTCAGCACACTCGGCGAGTATTCGAGAGGTCCGTGGTTCGATTCCCGGGGAGGACACTGCTCATTTTTCACGTCTCCTGCTTTCGAAATAACCTAACGTCTCTATAGTATTTTTAAAATTTATTTGTATAGATTTTGTACTAAATATTGAAACACAGACTCCAAATTTCTTTTCTAACATATTGTTTTCTCCATTTTAAACCCCGTTTGTTACAAAATAAGTATCATCAAAATGCTCCTTGTAGTAAAATAGTTTATCTCAAAGTGTGAATCTCTAACACATATAATAATTCGGACACTCAAAAGTTTTGTTGAGGTGTTTTGAAAAACGATGTGATGAGCCACATGACTTTCTTGTACGGACTATTATATTAAACGTTATTTTTCCTGCATTTCATTTAAACTAATTTCCTCGAATGTCATTACAGATATATTTCTCATTCATTTAATTCATTTCTCACTTCGCGGCAAAGCAAAAGTACATACAATCTCAAAATAACTTTATTAAAAATTGAAAAATATAGAAAAATATAAAAAACCAAATACAGTTTTAAACAATTAAAAAAATAAGTTTTGCAATTAAAATTAGATTCACTACGCAAAAACAGCAATTTGGCGAGCGGGCAGGAAGGCATATTTTTCGGTGCCCCAAACTAAGAGTTTACTTTTGGTCCCATTCGGTAAAAAGACACTGAAGGTGCAGAAACTGAATTCACTATTCTTCTAAGCTTCAAACGTAAACAAATATGGCTGTCGTGGTTAAAAAAATTAGGCTTAGCAATTAGGCTAAACCGCACTTAAACACCTTTTAAATTGTTTATAATTCTAAAACTATTGCATGCAGAATAACTAAAGGCATAAAAACCTGAACCGGAAGATAAGAACAACACAATTCAGTCATTTTTAAAGCAAAAAAATGAACAATTTGCCTACATATAAGAATAAAAAAACTGAGCTCACGGAGCCGAACATCAAATTGGATATATATATATAATTTTATACATTTGTTGTAGCCGATTGCAACCAAAAAGGAAAGTGCACAACTAGATGTTATATCAGTCCTATATACATAATATCAACGTTCTGAATCTACTCGTTTTCCAGTTATGCGAGATACATACACACGTACAGATATCACGAAAAAAACTCTTCTGAATCCGTTTTAAATCCTTTTTTCAACCCGTTTTGGGAAAAGAGTCCTTTATTCTGTCCTTACGTACAGATGTCACGCAAAAGCACCGTTAAATTGCATTCGATAGCGGTCAAAATGGATATTTTCGTTGAAATATTATACCCGAAAAGTTTTGCGATTACAGTGCTCCCTTCGTACAAGGAAGTAAAAATACATCACAAGAATTATCGTCTGCATTTGGAAATTATTGCTGGTTTAGCCAAATATAACAGTTTCGTATGTGAAATAACCAAGGCAGGATGCTACAAATTAACAAAAAATTCGGTTCAAAATTTAACTATTCACGATTTTAAACATGATAAAAGTATCAAAAATATTAAAAAAATCCTCGATGCAAAGCGTTCAACTACCTCTAGTTTATTAAAATGATGAAAATAAAGTGGAAATCTTCGAAATGTACTGAAATCTGGACCCCATTCCAAGCTAGCACGAAGGAATAGAAGATTTATCCTAGGGAAAACCAAACAAGACATCAAGTTAGTACTCTAAGACTTGCAGAAGATTTAGAAGAACGGTTTGCGAGATAATTTAACACTAAAACTGTTCGAAGAGTCATTACGGCACATGGATATAGTGGACAATTAGCAAGGAAAAAGAATTCTTCATTAATAGGAAAACAATGATAATACGACTGTAGTTTGTAAAATTCATGGTAAGCAAAGATTTATCGTATTAAAAAAAATGCTATATTTGCAAAGGAATCAAAATTTAACATATTTGGATCCGACGGGCGAATGGCTGTGAAGCGAAAACCAAATGAAGAATTAAATCCGAAAAAACCTGTTGCTTATTGTTAAGCGAGACTGTAGAAGGATAATGGTTTGGGTACGTTTCGCTGCTTCTGAGACAGAAAATTTACTTTTTCATAGAAAATTATATACATCTGTGCAAATATATACATATATTCTTGACGGAAATTTGAAAGCATTTGCAGAGACACTTGGAATGCAAGATCTACCAGGATAACGATCCCAAACATGATTGTTATGCAACTCTTCTAAAGTGATCAGAATTTCTGAATATTCTTCGGACTTAAGTCCTGTCAAACATGTGTTGAATCATTAGAGTTTTTGATGAAGAAGACGTGAAAAATGTGCAGTGACCTTGCTTGGACTTCAACCCTGGACCCCGCGATAAGCGCCGAGTGTGCTAACCGTTACACCACGGAGGCATGCAGAAAGGAGGGAGAAGATACCTTACATACTTCTGCTTTTAAAGGCCGACTGGGGATTAGGGCACCCAGTTGCCAAATCCTGGTGACGAAGAATCATCAACCACATTTTTAGTTCGGGCGCCAATGTAGCGTCATTAGGGTTTTTGATGAAGAAGCCGTGAAAAATGCGCAATGCCCTAGCCGAGGCTCGAACCCTGGACCTCTCGATACACGCCGAGTGTGCTATCAGCTAAACCACGAATGCATCCGGAAAGGAGGGTCGGTTTAGTTTGGTTTATTTAATTATGATAAAGCACGCTAGGTCTATCTGCCTAAGGGGAGGTATGACTTCGTGGAGGACTTTCTAAGGGAAACTGACTCGTATACACGTTACACGTGGGGAAAACCACGAAAACGCCCATGCAGCTAGCCCGTTCGCGAAACCAGAAAGGAGTGAGAAAGTATCTTATACATGTATGGAGTGCGTTGGAGAAAACAATAAAACAGAAAATTCTTCAAAAACTTTATTATTAACTGCAATTTTCAAGGAAGAATGAAATAAAATGGAGCATTCTTACTCAACAAAATTACTTAAATCCTATAGCAAAGCGCATGGAAGGTATCATTTTAGCTGAAGAATATCCAAAGAATTATTAGATGTCGTGTTTTTATTAAATATATACTGCTCGTTCAAAGTGTCCTAACACTTACGTGAAGCGTTTTCAAAACTTTTCGAATTAACACATTTTTTTTTTATCTAAACGTTTCGAATAACTTTTTCGAAAAAATGCAGGTTTTCAAAAAATTCTCATACATGAAAAAAAGAAAGATAAGAAATAAAAAAAATCTGTAAGTTTTAGATTTTTAATTACGTCCAAAGGGGCGTTTTTCTAACATTTTGTCTGTTACCTTTATTTATTAAATACCACGTTCTTCGCACTTAAACCATGAAATTCAGTTCAATAGCAATATCGCAAATAGTTTTAAATTGAGCCTATCTTTAGCGTTTGCGATACAGTCTCGCCGCGCTGGAGATAAAAATGTTTTTTTTAGTCCAAAGGGGCTTTGTCCCTGAAGGACTATTGTTTTCGGTTTGCGATTTTGCGTCGGACTCATAAACGTCGGTTCACTTTTCAAACTGTTGCCACAAAATGTTAGAGTCCTGCATTATATTTGAAGAAATTAAATAATGAAAAATCTGCATAAATGATTGTCTATTTCTCGCATTGTGATAAAACAACGGTACATAGAGCCATCGAATTTTGAATAACGAAATCCTACTGCGAATATGAGGCATGTGGAAAACCCAAATTTGGAAATTTGTTTTATTATAGATTTTATATTTTGTAAAACTTTAACGAATTTTTGATTTAACAAACTCAAGGATTTAAAAGCGAGCAATGGCAACGTTGTATATAAAAAAAATACTTTTATCTCCAGCTCGCGAGTCTCTGTATATCGGAAATTCTAAAGATATGCTCGTTTTAAATTATTTTGCGATATTGCTGTTGAACTGAATTTTATGGTTTAAGTGCAAAGAAACATGATATTTAATAAATAAAGGTAACACTCAAAACGTTAAAAAAACGCCCCTTTGGACGTAATTTAAAATCTGAAACATTTCAGATTTTTTTTTTTTTTTTTTCTCTGTACAACGTTGCCATGGCTCGCTCTTTGAAATCCTGGAGTTTGTTCATCAAAAATTTGTCAAAGTTTTACAAAATATGAAACCGATCATAAAACAAATTTCAAATTTGGGCTTCCACATGCCCATATTCGCCGTAGGATTACGTCATTCAAAATTCGATGGCTGTTTTTACCGTTGTTTTATCCAAATGCGAGAAATGTACATACATTGATGCAGATTCTTCATTATTTAATTTCTTCAAATATAATGCAGGACTCTAACATTCGGTGGCAACAGTTTGAAAAGTGAAACGGACACTTATAGTGAACCAACGCAAAATCGCAAAACGAAAGCAATAGTCCTTCA